TAGGAAATGGGTTTCAAACAAACTGCTGTTAAAGTGAACATTTTAAAAATGTTGCTTACTTAGGAAATAGGTTTTAAACAAACTGCTGCTAAAACTGCTAAAGTGAACATATTGATGGTGGGCATACCATCGCTGGGGAATTAATTTACTGTCACCGCCAATTTTTACTGACTATTACGACTTAGAGGTCTTATAGAATCTACTTAATTTAAAAAAGCCGGCCACGCACTTGCAGTTCCTCTGGTAATGCGGATGTTCATTGACGGGGGTAGTCACTTGTCATCTGGTAAGCCGCATACTCGTTTTCCCAAGCTTCTACAAAAATAGTCTTATTACTAGGCTCTTAAGAAGCACATGTCTCGTTTCGGTTACTTTCGCTACAGCCGAATTTGAATTAAGTGGTATGTGGAGTCGAGGCTTGTGCAATACCTAACTTTAGGCAACTTTCACTAGCTAGCGGTGTTACGCGGCCCGCCTGCGAAATAATTGCGTCGCCTATGCCCGGGGTCACAGTGAAAGTTTTGTATTGTTTTAACAATTCATTTAGCTTTTGGTGTGGATGGATTCAAGTAGAGCCGGCATCCCATTTAGTCCCTTGTAGCATAATATTATGCTAGAAAACTAAAAATTGCGTACCATTCAACAACTCAACAACTGTCTAGAAATATTATTATTACTTGTTTTTATAATAATAATAATAATGTCCTCCAGACCGAATTTCGGTCGCGACAGCCAATCTCAACGGAGACTAGCCGTCTGAGCAGGACAGGATTATAGTGCCCGAGTGTATAAAAAAAAGTTACAGCCTATATACGCCCCACTGCTGGGCACAGGCCTCCCCTCATTTCTGAGAGGGTTTTTTAGGACAAGGAAATGTCCACCACGCTGCCCCAATGCGTCTTGGCGAACTTCACATGTCTTCGAAATTTTTTTCTTATTTCTCAGACATGCAGGTTTCCTCACGATGTTTTCCTTCACCGCCGAGCACGTGGTAAATCAGCACTTAAAATTGCAAGTAACAATTTCATTGGTGCCGGCGGGAATCGAACGTTGTGAGGTATTCCATCCTAGTTTTCAGCGGTAACAACGCAACTGTGGCTTTTTTGGTCTGAAGTTGGCTGCAAGTGTCAATGTACTACCCAGTCACTTACCGTCACGTAGACTGCAAGTTTGTTTGTCACTTAAGTATTAAAAAAAAAATAACCACGTTCGCACTGAATACTAGCGCGAATGAGTGACGATGGTCGGAGTCCCATTTTACTGGTGACGACCATCTTATCTCAGTCCTCAGAGGTGATAATGCATCTGCATTTTGGATTCTTAATAATCGAGGATAGAGGCAGGCAGGTGGTCTGTGTGCTAGTTTTTTTTTTTATAGGATAAGGGTGACAAACGAGCACACAGTCCACCTGATGGTAAGTGGTTGCTGCGGCCCATAGACATCTACATCTATCCTCTGTTACAAATCAAAATGTAGATGCGTTGTCTCCCGTGAGGACTAAGATGGAATGCCTCATTTCCAGTAAAAAGGGCCTCCGGCCACCTGCACTCATCAAGCGAAACGCAGAGGTAAACCTCTACTTCACGCTGGTTTTCTATGAGGTCGTGGTACTACCCTACTAGTTTGTCATTCTCATTGATTAAATAACGGCAGTAGTATACCAGTTGCATTGTCCATACATATTCGTTTTGTTATGTCCAAAAAGCGCTGACTCGATTATTTTATTTTGTATAAAAACGTAGTTTCCGACGTAATCGAGGCAGTACAGTTCTAATGCATATAGTGCATGGCGTTTCTAGTTTTTGTACACTTATACGAGTAATTTTAATATTGAGGAAATAAACCAAGAGAACTTTCAGGATTGGATGTAAGTTTTTTTTTTAAAACACCTTCAGAGCGGCTTTCTATTGTCATTTATACTAAAAGATATCATCATATTTTATTTCACGATAGCATTTTTTATTTCAATATTTTTTGGTTTCAACTTTCTATACTTACAGCTAGAATTAGCCGCCGTCTATTTTAGCCATGCATTATTCCTCAAAATATTTATTACCGAGCTAATTAAACTCCTTAACAAGATGAACATACATAGGTAAAAAATTAGAATAAAATTCAAAGGCATTATAGGTAAGTAAATTTCGCCCTTTCCCAACGCGCCATTGATATTTGAAAATTTGTTAAACTGCGCACATCGGAAATTCAACCGAAACAAATTGCAGCTTCAACCGCGCATCTTAATAGGTACCAATGACCAGACAGTTGTTATTTTCAAAAGACATTGCAAGTCTAAAGGAGCGTAAAAGTTGAATCGCGTGAGAGGAAAAACAAGTTATTATTAGTTAGTAGAGAATCGCGATGTTGCTTTGAGCACTGATGCTATCATAAATAATGTGGTTGCGCGGTGAGCGTGGCGGGGAACGCGCGGGGAAAAGAAGAGGGGGGAATGTAAGAGTCAAGGCCGCACGCTGCCCCCGGTCGTCGCTCGCGCCCCACTTGTCGCTCTTCAGCGCCCGTGAAGCCTCTCGCTCTATGCACCGAAATATAGCGACCGTACCCGAAGCGGCACGAACTAGACCTTCCTATGCGCGGGCGCAGCACTACGAACAGCTGAGACGTAACAACATAACACACTGACTCGGTCATTCGTGCATTCAACCTTTGATTGGCTTTCTTTTTCATGATCATTGATTCGATCATCGGACACTAATTATCTATGTAACGCATATAGGTGCTCGAATTGTTTATAAATGACATGACGCCTTTTATGTTCGTGTACAAAAAATATTTAAAAAAAAAGCAAAAATTTTATTTTTTAGAAATCTTATATAAATACACTATGATTTATTTTAAATGTTTTGTAAAAAGTCTATAGAGGTAGAGAGCTATAGTTTTTGTGTTATGTTAACTCTGCTCTCTAAGACTTAATGCAGTGTCTATTAAAATAAAAGACAATTAAAAACTCGTTTACTTACGTACATTCCCACGATTGACCGCGGAACATAATAGGCAAAGCGCGTATCAAATTCCTTCGTCTTTATCAAACCAAGGTAGAGTACCCACCAATGCAGCCGCAAGTTTATAGAATTGGAATAGATTAAGATAAAAATATATATATATTTGATTTAAAATTATAATAATTTTAAAGTTAAAATATTACAAAGTTATTATCTGTATTTTCTACCTTTGTTTATAAGTTGTCACTTGAAGGGTAAAAGGTTGTGTCTTAACTAGTCGCTCTGTTATTTCTTATAACAGCACTCTACCAAACAGAAAGCTCTATCAAAAAGACACCAAATAGAAACGCGATAGCATAAAATGTTCCATTAGAGACGCTGAATGTGTCAAATAATTATATAACAATGAATGTATGTGCAAACAAACATATTAGATTCCATCGAGGTCACCCAGTTTACTGCTCTGTTTTCAGTGAAGTCATATTGGCGGCCATTTTATTTAAAACTACTTTGATGTTAGTGTCGCCATAAATAAAGTCCGGATAAAAGTGTGCACTTGACCTCTTTATTGAGGCACATTTATCACCTAAATAGTAACCGCTGCGTCGCGTCGAGGCGTAATTTACAGGCTGTAGGCAATAGAATGAACGGATAGAAAAATTGTCACCGTTTGCCAATTTGTACTGTAAACAAGGTCGGTACGTTACATTGCCCGGCTATCTTTACGTTTGAATCAGTAACGAACGAACTTTTATCCTGAATTACATTTTCGAGTGACTGTGATTTACTAAACTTCGTATTTTTATACTTAATTAAATATTATTAAAGGCTAAAAGTGTTCCTAAGGAGCGAAAACTATACTGGTTGAAAATAATACATTAATGAGAAAAAATTGCAAGTCTATTACATCGATTAAACTTACATTTGATTGCCAATGTTGCAATTAGTAACTATTTAATATCGCATATTCATATACAGGTTTCCAAGGACTTGTTTCTATGTACGTGAAAGGCGAGACCGTTTATTGCGAGTAACCTGGTTTAAAACACCGCGTCAGCTCGGTCTCACGTGGAACTAGTTTTTTTAGCAGTTGGTAAAACCACTGGTTGCGCAACACTAGACGGCCACCGACCCCCAACGTACCAGGCGCTTAAATAAAATTAATCACTATGTTGAAATAAAACCTTTTATCTGGCGCTCTACAGTCAACGCGTCCGACCTAGCTTAACATTTTAGTAAGCTATGTAGAGGTGTGATAAATATTATCACTCGCTGCGTAAAAATGTACGCCGAATATGCTATCTCAATTTACAAAGCAAATTCGCGTGCATTCATTCTTCAATTAAAGTATGAATGAATTACGAATAAATAGCTTGAGTTTTTGCAGTACCTGCATAAAGGTGGTATCAAGTGCTCGCAGAGTATTACTCTTACAACACCACTTCTTACTTTTAAGGACTTCCGACTGTATGATTGACAAGTGCCCATTAAATTTCCATCGCGCATCACATACCCTACTCCCGGGTACGTACGGCATACAAACTTTGCCAGGACTCATTAGTATGCGGACGGTCGCTCTATCCACCTTTTGTTTGGGCAGGAAACGACCACGTTGCCGCCGAAATTTACTTGTCCACATTTCGTTACCAAAACATCACTTCGTCGAAGACGCATGGTCTTATATTGTAAAAATAGAAAATAAAAACGATCTCCACTTGGCCACCGGCTCGACTAATGGTTCATGAAATGTATGCAAATTTTATAGCGCCCAATTTTAGATGTTTTGACACCCGGCGTCTTTGGGGCAATGGATTCCAAATCTTGCCTGCGCAGTTTCGAAGTGTATTTTTTAATTTAATACACAAAAGTCACACTATTTTACGTAGAATAATTTTTTTTTAAATATAAAATAAGACTTACAAATAATATTTTTTTAAAAGTCAATTTCATAAATTATATTCATGTTTAAAAAAAACTCTGTAAAGAAGCTTAGGAAGCGGAAACTATTTATTTTACTAATTGTGTCGGTTGAATTGTTTCAGGACGTGAAGAACTGTCGCCGGCATCGAGTGTGAACGGCTGTAGCACAGATGGGGAGGCGCGGCGGCAGAAAAAGGGCCCCGCGCCCCGGCAGCAGGAAGAACTTTGCCTTGTATGCGGCGATAGGGCCTCCGGATATCACTACAACGCGCTAACGTGTGAAGGATGTAAAGGTAACCTAATCGCTCGTTTTTTTTTTATAAGATAGGGTGACAAACGAGCACACAGTCCACCTGATGGTAAGTGGTTTCTGTGACCCCTAGACATCTACATTTATCCTCAATAAAGAATCAAAATGCAGATGCGTCGTCACCCGTGAGGACTAAGATGGAATGCCTCTTTTCCAGTAAAATGGGTCTCCGGTTCTCTACACTCACCATAAGAAACACAGCAGTGTCAAGCTGCCATTTTACGCTAGTATTCTGTGAGACCGTGGTCCTTCCCCGGTCGAGCCGACCCATTCGTGCTACAACTATACTACTAATATCACGTAGGTTCATGTCAAGCTTACCTTATATTATAACTAGCTGTTCCCCGCGACTTCGTCCGCGTGTTTTTTAGGGTTTTAATTTTTTTGCGCGGAACCCTAATTCTTTTTCTAAAATAAAAGTAGCTTAAGTTACTCCTTGTGACGTCAGCTCTCTGCCAGTGAAAATCCCGTCGAAATCGGTCTAGCCGTTTCGGTGATTAGGCAGAACAAACAGACAGACAGACGGACAGACAGACAAAAATTTTAAAAATTGTATTTTTGTTATTAGTACCGTATATACTTTCATATGCATTTAGTAAAAAGCTGTAATTTTGACATTACAAACAGACACTTCAATTTTATTTATTTGTATAGATGTATAGATTACACAATACACACTAATTTTTACATATATTCTCAATAATATAGATTCGAATGATCTTTTATAGTCAAGACAATACTACTGTAACTTTTAGTTTACAAACAAACACCAAACTTAGACGTAGTATATAGTAGTAGTATGTAGGTGTGTCGGTTCGACCTGGAAAGGAATACAGGCGAAAAATAGCAGCGTAATGCTGCTCTGTTTGTTATGGTGACTCTTTCCACATGTAACGAGACATTCCACCTTACTCAGTGGTGACGTCGCTTACAAATTTTGATTCTCAATCGAGGGTAGATAAAGTCTGTGGATGGTATGCCATCGTCTTTCCATCAAAATGGACATTATGTTCGCTTTTTCTCCTTCTATAAAAATTTGTTATGTGAGCGTAATTTAATACTTGTACTTTATATAGATATGTATACAGGGCTATTTTGCAATAACCGGCCAAATTCGCAATAATTCCGTCCGTTATATCTTACATACAAAATGCGTGGTAATGCATTATTTTAGCTGATTTTTTTACTGCACATGCACACATTCGTAAGGGTCAATCGATAGGCAAGATGGTTGTTGCCTATAAAACACATTCAATTTGGGATAATTTTTAATAAAAGTAGAAGCCTTATTTACTGCAATAACGGTATAGTACCATTATTTATATATTTGAACTTAAGTTTAAAATTAGGCTACTCTTTGAAAAATAACCCTGTATATTGATACTTTGTATATATGTATTATAATATGTATTACATAGGTATGTATGTCCGAGGTTGTGCCAATTCAGGGTTGAATTGGCGCATTGTCGACAGAGAATGCGAGTCGCGCGTGCATATTGTACTCGTGCACGACGACACGTCACAATAACCGTCTGCTGCCCGTCTACTCCTTGATTCACTCACTGACGCCTATCGAGCATCACGGACAATCTCCAATGTCGTCCTGCCCATTAAATGTACAATAGCAACCTTAATCACACTCGTATGTCTACGTTGATTAAGCGAAGAAAATCCATCGCCCTTGTACAATAAGACATATTAGTCGAACTAAATTGTGCCTTTTAATCAAATTTACTTGCGATTTACTAATTTTACTTATTAAGGCTTTTATATAAGTAAGCGTGACAAGCGATTTTACAGTCCACCTGATTGTAAATAAATCCTGTGGCCCATATACACGTCGATGTGGACACGTCTACATCTTTCCTTAATTAAGAATTAAAATAAATTTGTCAAGATGAAGTTTCACTCGTAAGAACTAAAAAAAATGGAATGCCCTCACCACCATTCGAAACAGCCGTGAGCCTGGTTGACTTTCTATAATATTTAACGTTATTGGAAAAGTATGAAAATAAATTTCACATGACTTATGATTGCATTTAATAAATTTTATAGTTTTCTATTAGCCTTAACGATTGTAGAATATCAATTTGGCTAACCCCATTGGGCATTATTGTTATGATATTATGCTAGAATTCTGTGCGAAAATGTTCCTTCCCTGGTCGAGCCGACCCATTCCCGCTGCAGGCATAATACGCTGTAGCATGGCTCTATCACGTAAAAAGTAAATTATAAGTAACAATATGACTATTTTTTACTATCAACCTCGTCATATCAAACACCACCTAATCGTACCTATCATATCGTGAACAAAGTCAATGACCCATGTTTTTCAGACAACCTTTAGTAATTCACAATGTGTTTGCATTATATTTCTTCTTCCCTATGACTTGATAATTTATTTGTTTCATATTAATTTCAGGATTCTTCAGGCGGAGCGTAACCAAAAATGCCGTATACATTTGTAAATTTGGACATGCTTGTGAGATGGACATGTATATGCGTCGGAAATGTCAGGAGTGCCGGCTTAAAAAGTGTCTGGCGGTGGGTATGAGGCCTGAGTGCGTTGTGCCAGAAACCCAGTGCGCGATGAAAAGGAAGGAGAAAAAGGCACAAAGGGAGAAGGACAAGCTGCCAGTTAGCACGACGACAGTCGACGATCACATGCCACCTATTATGCAGTGTGATCCACCACCCCCAGAGGCCGCCAGGATTGTAAGTTATCTTGTAATCTATTCTACTGTGTTTACCGTTTAAATAAGATAATATTTTACTTATATCAATAAATTATTTTAGAATATTTTCTAATATATTTTAACAATTTCTGTGTAATTTAATTATTAATAAATATTAATACTCGTCACTTTTACACTGAACTAACATATTATTATATGTCTTTAACTATAAAGATTGGCCTTGATTTGTTGTATCAACAAACAAAGCTCAATCTATAAGGAAACAAAATGTCCTTTCTAAATTCAAACAAAAATAATTCGAACATCTCTTAAATTCATCAACGTTGAATACGTTTGCTTTGTACACCCCAATGCCCATTTTTTCTCCGAGCAAAGTATTAACGCGACGGTTGTTTCCTACGTGAAGCTGGAATGTTTGCAGCACGATTTGGTCCCGCGGTTCCTTCCGGACAAGTTGCTCGAGCAGAACAGGCTGAAGAACATACCGCCGCTGACCACCAACCAGCAGTTCCTCATCGCGAGGCTCGTTTGGTACCAGGATGGCTACGAGCAGCCGTCGGAAGAGGATCTGAAAAGGGTCACACAGGTAAATAATTTCTAAATAATAGTAGATTTTTTTTAAATAAGTAAACAATTTTATAAAAAATTGTGGTCTATACTGTCCTCTCCTCGTTTTCAAGTGATCCGAAAGATAATAAATTCATAATATTATATATTTCTGAAAAGTATGTATATAATTTGAACATTTTTATTTTACTTTTATGTGTCTATTTTTACCGCCTTTTTACTTCTCTATTTCTTGAGTCCTTCCATTGTAACTCTTTTGAGGTGTTTCAATATTAAATTAAATTCGTTCAAGTACAAAATAATTCATGTACAGAATTTATCTTTATACGATAAAATGCCTCCATATTTCACTAATTAATTGTTTTAGCTTGCTTATTTATATTTGTAATATATCAGACTTAAAATCGGTGTAAATATTAATCAAATAATAACATTAATTACATTAATTATGCTATTTATTCCCAAGCTTTATAGAGATTAAAATGTATGTACAGGATGAAATAAAAATTTATACGATATAAAAATATACGACGCTTACAGTATTCAAATGATGTGTCTGACCGCTGTAATGTGATCGTATAAGATTAAAATTTATATCCACATCCGCGAATAATACATGTGTATGTTGGGGATATAGAGGGTGTCGTTGTTTATGTAGAACAAGCCAGTTCTTTTATAATGATTTTTTACCGAGCTATCCGCCTTTTTCAGACGTGGCAGCAAGCCGACGAGGACGAAGAGGAGTCCGACCTGCCATTCCGTCAAATAACTGAGATGACGATTCTCACAGTTCAACTCATTGTCGAGTTCGCTAAAGGCCTGCCAGGCTTTGCCAAGATCTCTCAACCCGATCAAATAACGTTATTAAAGGTAATTTAAAGGTTATTGATTCATATAAACATTAGCAAACCTATTAAGTGTAAAAAGTGTAAACATTGATAGATTTCATTTGCATGCAATATTAAATGTTTATTAGCAGTTTATTTAACCAGTTCAATATCGATCAATCAAGGAAGCAGAAAATAATCATTTTTCAATGTCGGAATTCGAAAAGAGATTCAAAATTCTATAAACTAAAAACATTAATACTAGTACAAGTAATTAATAATTTTTATCTTCTCAAATACAAATACAAAAACATCGATTGATGATTGATGATTCCATCAATTTATCCAACAACAGAGATAAAGAGCTCTTAAAACTATAGATCTTATAACTATTGTGATAGACAAATCTGCTCTTTAGATCTGTCTGATATTTGGAGAGGCCTGTTTCTGATAATAGCCTATAGATAGATTATGATGCGCAAGCTCTGAATATTTATTAATTACAATAGTTTTCATTTTATTATAACATAGTTATTATTTACTATTGATGACAATTTCTACGTACATTTTTTGAACAATATAAAGCATACTTTAAATTCATGAGTATGAAAAACCCACAGTTTTGTTTGTTGTCTTAAGATATTCTTATGAAACTTTATATTGCTTTAATTTTTATTTTAATAAATTTTTATGCTAATCTCCATAATTAGCTACGTTTTATGATGAGTAAAGCCCCGTAATAAAGCCTCATCTCGATCTTTACGAGATATTTTAATGCACATTGAACCTCGTAAATGGAAATCGCTAAATGCTGTTCAATCTTATGTAACCTATTGAGGCCATGAAAGATGAAGTTTTAATGATCACGGTTGGCAATTAAGGCCTAGTAATATCTTCATAAGGTGCACGCCTCCAGTCTTTAACATGGCGCATTGGCAACAGTGTATCTTTCTTTCTTTGGTAACGGATTCGTACGCAATGGTTTTTTTTTTTATTAATAAGGGTACAATAATACACAAATGCACTAAGTGTACTAATGAATAACAAAATAATGATCAAAAGTATTAAGTGAATGTAATTTTTCATAATACTGAGTATTTCCCTGTATTTTTTTATAGTTGAGAACAAATCTTAAAAATTAATCGTATTACAGATAAATACCCTAATAGCAGAAGCATATAATATACACACTACAATAACATACTAACGGGTCAAACTTTAAAATTTATGTAAACTGCTCTCGTGAAAATGACAATCTCTGTAATTAATACGTTTCTCTTGTAGACCATCGATATAATCTTTTATAAATAAAATAGAATAAAATAATTTTCATTCAATATAGATTATAAACCTTATTGAAAGTTATTTTTTACTTTGGCCATTCGTTCGGAAAAAATCTATCCTGGGAAGAACCAGCTAGAAACCCAATTAATTCAATTTTAATTTTCAACTTGATGTTTAATTTTCCAATAATTTCTTTACTATTGCCTTTTATTGCATTTATTATATCTTTATATATACAAATTACGTGTCACATTGTTTGTCCGCAATGAACTCCTAAACTACTGAACTGATTTCAATGAAATTTGCACACTGTGTGCAGTGACACTCGATATTTTTTTATTACTAATTTAAGGATTTTTTATATGGAGGGTCGTCGAAGAGGGCAGAACAACGTCTGCCTGGTCAGCTAGTTTGCTACAAAAATTATCTACAGTTGCTGTCGGCATCGGCAAAACTATGTGACGTTAAATCCCTAGTAGAAACCTAAAGTTCGAATAATCTATGCCTAATATATCTTTTTTATAGAATAAGGATGACAAACGAGCACACAGTCCACCTGATGGTAAATGGATGCTGTTACCCATAGACATCTACATTTTTTGCTCCATAAAGAATTAAGGGGGGCAAACAAGCATGCGGTTCACCTGATGGTACGTGACTACCTCCGCCCATGTACAATTACTACACTAGGGGTATTGCAGATGCGTTTGGTGGCCTTTTAAAAAAAGGTAGGCTCTTCTTGAAAGATCCGAAGTCGTATCGATTCGGAAAAATCGCTGATGGTAGTAAATTCCACAAGGAAGTTGTGCGAGGAAGAAAACTTTTTGTAAATCACATAGCAGTGGATGGCCAATCATCTAGATGGTATAGATGTAATCGCGAGTTTTGTCACGATGTGCGATGGTGAAATTGAGCGGCTGAAATTACTCCGAACAATTCTCCGAGCACGCAAATAAAATAGATAAACAAATATAATAGTTGCGATAAAATACGCAAAGAGATGGAACATGACTTCGCAGCGCAAGTGAGTCAAGTCGATCATAAACAGGTCGGTCGCCGACGATTTGAACCGCTCTGCGCTGGATGCGGTCAAGTTTAAGGAGCTGGCACTTGGGGTGCCGCGGGCCGGAGATTACTGCAATAACAAAAATATCGTCCTCAGGCATGTTCGAGCGAAGTAATGATGCTTCGAGTGGCGCGGCGTTACGACCCGGAGACGGACAGCGTACTGTTCGCCAACAACAAGGCGTACACGCGCGACAACTACCGCAAGGCGGGCATGGCGTACGTCATTGAAGACCTGCTTCACTTCTGCCGCTGCATCTACACAATGTCGCTAGACAACGTGCACTACGCGCTACTCACCGCCATCGTTATATTCTCAGGTCCTTATTCAATTCATATTTACTATTTTAATCTTATTTTAATATTTTTCCAGTAGTAAGGGTGATATTACAGCACATGTTACGTGTATCCCGCGGCCTATAGACATCTACATATGTTCTCGATCGAGAATCAAATTTCAGATGTGAGTAAAAAGGATTTCCGATTGTTGTCACTCACCACACACAACAGCAGCATCATGTTGCTATTCCTCGCTGGTATTTTGTGCGAGCGTGGTACTTTACTGAACGAGCCGATCAATTCGTGCTACAGCCTTTATATGTTGTGAGATGCCTCTTCCACGTATAAAATGTGATGGTCGATCAACATTTGTAGAGTATTGACGGTAGAAATATAATACAGATCCCGAATTTGCAATAACAACGAGTTGAATGTAAATTCAAGAAAAACAACTTCCTTCTGCGTGAATCCCATATCTCTGGTGCCCTTTGACCTACAGGACCCAAATTCAAACTCGACCGAGCTACTACCTCAAGGTATCCACATACCAAATTTAAAGTCAATCGGTCCAGTGAAACGGAAGTTATCGTGTCGGCATACAGACTAACAGACTGCCAGCTAAAACCATTAACTTCCTTTCAATGCTACGCAGAAGGAAGTTAATAAATAGTTAGCCACTCTAAGTCATTTCATTCTTAGTTATAGATAAATTAATAACATTAAGGACTTTATATATTATGTAGATCTCTTGACGATAAAGGTCATGTAACACGAATGAATGGATATGTTATGCTGTTACTCCAGTTAAGTGAGCATTAAGAATGTTTGGAATATTCATGAATAAAAATTAACAACGTACTTATTTCATTGTAGATCGGCCCGGCCTCGAGCAACCGAAACTAGTGGAGGAGATACAGAGATACTATCTGAACACTTTGAGGATGTACATCGTGAATCAGCACAGTGCGTCACCTCGCTGCTCGGTAATCTACGGCAAGATCCTCTCCGTACTTTCGGAGTTGAGGACATTAGGAATGCAGAATTCGAACATGTGCATCTCGCTAAAACTAAAGAACAGGAAGCTGCCGCCATTCCTCGAGGAGATATGGGACGTGGCTGACGTGTCGACGACGCAGCCGCCGCCCATTGTGGAAAACCCAACGGAGCTTTAGCGCCCACGCGCTCGCAATATCCCACGCGGCCTCTAAGCGTAGAGTGAACCACGAAGTTTGCCGAGCTCCCCTTACCATGTGTTCGATTGTCTATCAGAAGCGGAGAGTCGAGTTCGAGGAGTGATGTCGATATGAAACTCGAGTAGCGACGCAAGGCGCTAACACTCGCTAGCAAAAACTGTGCGAGTTAGTGGTAAGGGCGCAGAACATCGCAGACGCAACGCAGTGGAATCGCAACGGCACCGTAACGGGACCGCGACGGCGCCACAGCGGGCGAGGTTTCGTGTTTCTCCCATCGCTGTAGGCGACGAACGCGCCACTGAGGAGAGAACGCTCATAGACTGGCTAGTTTTAGTGTAGTGCTCGGACACTCAAGTCGGACGTGATGAAACTATTTATAAGGACAGTGCAATTTACGGGTGCGAGTACTCGACTTTGCGCGTATTCGGTGACCGACAACGATGTGCGAGAGATTAGTGAATATATGTGCTGTTGAACGTTTGGAGAATATATTTAGTGTTGATCGTTTAAATGGCCACAACGTCGGCCGAAACGACCGTCTCTCGTTTTCGTCGACGTGTGTCGCCCTCCACGTTTATTTCGTTTACGACTGGATAGGTAGTTGGTCACTCGGATACGACTTTTTATGATAAGACTTCAATAAGTACACCTCCTAAATTAATACATACGTACATACACTACGAGAGTTATAAAGAATGAAAAAATTAATTCTAATATATGAAAAGATGTTTCTATTGGATGAGAAAGTTGATATTTATTTTTATTTACCAAAATTAAGAGTATGTTGAATGACCTTTTCGATTAATCTATACATATATAATATATTCCTAGAGTCCTTAGGTAACGTTCCGCTAATTTGGCGACATCTGTCGGCGGATGTTGTTACATTCACGACCGTGTTTGTTTATATATAGTTTATGTCTGTCGCGTTATCGTGTATCGTCGATTTTGGTTCCGACTTAATGTCCTGTGCCCGTGTCCTACGACTTGTCGAATAATTTATAATTTATTATTGCTGTGATTACATTTATAACATGTTGAAATATCTTACATAGGCTGATTTAAGTGTGTCTTATTACAATTAAAAAAAATCTAATGTCAACGTTTGCTTTCATAAAAGCATTACCAGCATCTTGTCTGCCTGTTTATGTACTTTTATCATAGTTAAGATAATGCTCGATTCGTTTTATCACGGTGTTGTTCACACTGCACTAAGTCAATGTTATATTAGAACGTTATGTAATCTACAGTCACTAAGGTACCATAAGATTTTTGGTATACAATTTTGTCGGATGTTCATGTAATAAATGTTGAGTTAGCTGTTGAAGAAACAAACAGTTTGTACCAGCCTATGCAATTAACAATAAGTATCGCCATAAGGTTAACAAACGATATACATTAAACGAAATAGACTATTCTTGTCATCTAATTGTAAGAAATCTGAGTGTTTCGGAGGTGGATGTGGTTGTTGGTTCCTGTCAATGGAATGTATTGTTACACCTATACTTAATATAACACGATTTCTACTTACTTTCACATCGTATTGCGTGCATGTAATCAGGCAGCTGTTATATAGGTTTGTGGATAGAATTGTGGAAGCCATAAAATTGTCCGAAATTCTATTTATTGCATATTTAATACATATTTATATATCTATGAAAGAAATTTTTTTTTGCTTTTTTATAGTTTTATTATAAAAAAACGGCAGCTTGTTTACCTCAATAGGATTTTATTTCTTTTAAATGTATAAGTGACTGTTTGGCCGAGCTTACTCTATGGGAACAATATTGGAATAATAATTATGTACTAAATGTAATAGTTCGATAGGATTCATGCACGTAATTTGATGTCTTAATCGAGCAAACACATCTGTCTCCGTACGAGTAAAAATGTCTATTGCAGAACAATAATATGTTATTCAATGCATTAAACCAGCCCATAACCGATGTGATCCGTACAAAATGCCTTATTTCGCGTTACCTGTACTGCGTACCTACATTGTTGAAAATGGAATATCTTAGCGTATAGATCCTAAAGTTAATCGATCTCAGTTATCCGTAAGCGTTGTTAAAACAATAAATTAGACATATTATCTATTCATTGATGGGCATTTCTTTTTGGTTAATGGTACGTTCCGACAAACTTCTCTATTGTAATCGTTGTACTGTGTCCGTCTCGAAGCCTTTGATGTTTGTCAAATCGTTGATATTGTAGAGTAACAATTTTGATAGTAAGCTCATCCAGCATGAATACATCGTACTTGTCTACAGAGTAACTTGCGTACGGAGCGACTCGTTGACACGTCATTTGTACGTTTAAAACGTTTAATAACTTAAGTGTCTGGTTGGTGTGTGTTGAATGTGTCTTCTTTACATGCCAATAAGTGTGGCGTAATTTCACACAATCTGTATGCCTGAGGTTTTTTGGAAATGAATTTCTTAATATACGTATAAAATTCAGCGTGAGACGATCTGGCTTGCACCGCGGACCGAGCGCTAGATCGCTTAATGATACATCTTTTCGAATTATACAATTATTTTATTATAGCAGTAGGCGATTCTAATGTATATAACGAAGCACAAATGTCACTGGAGTGTCTTAGGTCTCTGCTGTTTAGGGGCGACTAACAATCACACTGCCATTTTAAACGTAATTTCACGGTGCAATCCGGTATGTTTGTAGTCATAGCGGAGGTTTTTCTACGAAACATTTCACTTGTGATCTGTAGATGTGTGTGGTGTTCCATGTTTACGCTATGATATGATGATGCCTTATTATTGGAGATGCGAACGCGAGCCTTAAGGCGGGCCACACTTGCGCTGCGCATCTCTTGTCTTGTGAAAATTATAACTGCCATTCGATAAGTAAATTGTTATACATCATTTGACGCGTAGTGATTCATTATGAATAGCTTCATAGTTTACGGACTCCGTCGGTGCACAGCCGGTCGCGTTTGATACATATTATTCAACTTCGAAATTGTCATAGGTTTATTAAGGTAATGTAATAATCTCTGATGAGAAACGTAAAAAGTAATGAGATACCCTAATATAATTTGTGTCTTAGCTAATAATGAAACATTAGTACGATGATAAGTTTATGTCGCTTACTGAGATGCGCAAGATCAGAGCGGGCAAATCTGGGGAGGCGTAGGACGGATGGACGTCAAACGAGCGATGGTTCGATGTCACAACCGGTTGTCCTTCTTCAATAAAATTTCCTGACAGTTTCATTTACCCAACGGGAACGAGTGCTGTAGTGACCAAACGTGGCACGTCCAGTCTTCAACTAATCTGTGGACTTTGGGAGGGTCCGCTGTGTCCATTAAAATGTTGTATATAGGTACCTTTAGATTTTATTGTCATATGTTTGACATATGTTTAATTTTATTCATCTAAGAAAGTACAGATGGCTGTTGTTATTTTTATATTATTTGGGTAGAAGTATATTTTTTGTAAATGACCTCTGTATTTATCTTTTGTAAGCTTTGTAAGCCATAGGGACTTAGACTAATATACGAGATACGAACATTGTGATTACAAAATGGTTTCATTGACTTTGTATTTACTGAGATATTTTTTTCGTTCTGCGTATATATTCTTCGTTTCGACAGAATTTTTCTTAATAATTTTTTGTTACTTCAGAGTGCAATATGTACAAATATTTACATATAAAATATAAACTGTACAGTCATTTTTTAGTTTTAATATGTCAACGCAATATCTTTCGCTAATCATTCGTTGAATGTACAATGAAAGGCATAATAACCTATATCACAAGTGGGTTGCGATGCAACGTTCACTCACTATTGTGTTTCGCTAATACTTAAGTGATTAATTTTTGCATAGACGGACTAGGTGATCTTTGTATTTTTAAATTTGCTAATTTTTTGTAGCAGATTAGAATTTGTTTACTCGGATAAGATGAATAATGTACATTTTGAATTGATTTTAAAGTGAATTAGTTGTTATTAGTGACGAATTTTTTCTTATTAAGCGTGACTGGCAGCCTCGTGGCCAGTTCACCGATACCAGTGCGATATGTGCAATGTCCATTAGAAAATTTTGTGTAGCTAGACGGCCGAGAGGCCGAGAGGCACCAGTATTGTCGGCACGGCGTGGCTTCTGCCGCTTTCGCTTGCACGGTTGCACTCGGTCGTCGAGCTAGACTCGCGCAAGTGCCACGTCGAACGATAATGGAAGGCTGATATTACGCGATAAGGGCCCATTCCGTGTTCTTGGAAACACATTTTATTTGTATATTATTTCGTTATTCTATCTGTCCACAGTAATTATTATTTCCTCCTAATACTTTTTGCCTTAGTGAATCCTTTATTATATGATTTAACCGCTGTGGTGAAGCGAATTAGATATAGGGAACAGACATGACGATATGTTAAAATTTTAGAGAGTCAACTTTTATAAAAGATAATAACTACAAAACAAACCATGAAAAGGTGTGTACAAAACGAGGAAATTTGTATGAAACATTGTTATGCGAATAAACTTACACCTCGATATAAAATAACTTTGGTCTTTTATTTGTTTTACTGTATTTATTTTTCTTCGCTTTTTGTTTGTTTGTTTAGCCGTGTAGTGGCATCGTAAGCGAATCCATTACCCCCATATCATTTCGTGAGTCGTAAAGGGCGACAAAGCGAAACAAAAATTGGTCGCAGCAGTCTTTCCGATAACTGTTGCTAATCCGCCTTCTAAACGTGGTAACCATGAGAATGCATGCAACTGTTACCTAACTTATGTATTTGCATTCCGTGTTTCCTACACATGTTGGATGAGGGGTGGGGGGTGCGGCGTAAGTAATACATCTGATTTTGTCTTCATATCCTTTACAAATTATCAACTTTCAGCTGTTATCTAAACCAAAAGATATAGATACAATTGTGACAATAACTAGTAAGTGGCTTATGGTAGGAGATAATGAGTACTTACAAAAAGGGAAAAATAATTCGAACATTGACT